TGGAGAATGTCTATGTATCTGTCCCAGCTAGACTGTGTCTGATGGTAGATGTCTATGTATCTGTCCCAGCTAGACTGTGTCTGATGGTAGATGTCTATGTATCTGTCCAAGCTAGACTGTGTCTGATGGTAGATGTCTATGTATCTGTCCCAGCTAGACTGTGTGTCTGACGGTAGATGTCTATGTATCTGTCCCAGCTAGACTGTGTGTCTGATGGTAGATGTCTATGTATCTGTCCCAGCTAGACTGTGTGTCTGATGGTAGATGTCTATGTATCTGTCCCAGCTAGACTGTGTGACTGATGGTAGATGTCTATGTATCTGTCCCAGCTAGACTGTGTGTCTGATGGTAGATGTCTATGTATCTGTCCCAACTAGACTGTGTGTCTGATGTAAGATGTATATGTATCTGTCCCAGCTAGACTCTGTGTCTGATGGTAGATGTCTATGTATCTGTCCCAGCTAGACTGTGTGTCTGATGGTAGATGTCTATGTATCTGTCCCAGCTAGACTGCGTGACTGATGGTAGATGTCTATGTATCTGTACCAGGTAGACTCAGTGTCTGATGGTAGATATCTATGTATCTGTCCCAGCTAGACTGTGTCTGATGGTAGATGTCTATGTATCTGTCCCAGCTAGACTGTGTCTGACGGTAGATGTCTAAGTATCTGTACCAGCTAGACAATGTGTCTGATGGTAGATGTCTATGTATCTGTCCGAGCTAGTTTGTGTGTCTGCTGGTAGATGTCTATGTATCTGTACCAGCTAGACTGTGTCTGATGGTAGATGTCTATGTATCTGTCCCACCTAGACTGTGTGACTGATGTTAGATGTCTATGTATCTGTCCCAGCTAGTCTGTGTGTCTGATGGTAGATGTCTATGTATCTGTCCGAGCTAGTCTGTGTGTCTGATGGTAGATGTCTTTGTATCTGTCCGAGCTAGTCTGTGTGTCTGATGGTAGATGTCTATGTATCTGTCCCAGCTAGACTTTGTGTCTGATGGTAGATGTCTATGTATCTGTCCCAGCTAGACTGTGTGTCTGATGGTAGATATCTTTGTATCTGTCCGAGCTAGTCTGTGTGTCTGATGGTAGATGTCTATGTATCTGTACCAGCTAGACTGTGTCTGATGGTAGATGTCTATGTATCTGTCCCACCTAGACTATGTGTCTGATGGTACATGTCTATGTATCTGTCCCAGCTAGTCTGTGTGTCTGATGGTAGATATCTTTGTATCTGTCCCAGCTAGACTGTGTCTGATGTTAGATGTCTATGTATCTGTCCCAGCTAGACTGTGTGTCTGATGGTAGATGTCTATGTATCTGTCCCAGCTAGACTGTGTCTGATGGAAGATGTCTATGTATCTGCCCCAGCTAGACTGTGTCTGATGGTAGATGTCTATGTATCTGTCCCAGCCAGACTGTGTGTCTGATGGAAGATGTATATGTATCTGTCCCAGCTAGACTGCGTGACTGATGGTAGATGTCTATGTATCTGTCCCAGCTAGACTGTGTGTCTGATGGAAGATGTATATGTGTCTGTCCCAGCTAGACTGCGTGACTGATGGTAGATGTCTATGTATCTGTCCCAGCTAGACTGTGTGTCTGATGGAAGATGTATATGAATCTGTCCCAGCTAGACTGTGTGTCTGATGGTAGATGTCTATGTATCTGTCCCAGCTAGACTGTGTGTCTGATGGTAGATGTCTATGTATCTGTCCCAGCTAGACTGTGTGACTGATGGTAGATGTCTATGTATCTGTCCCAGCTAGACTGTGTCTGATGGTAGATGTCTATGTATCTGTCCCAGCTAGACTGTGTCTGATGGTAGATGTCTATGTATATGTCCCAGCTAGATTGTGTGACTGATGGAAGATGACTATGTGTCTGTCCCAGCTAGACTGTGTGTCTGATGGTAGATGTCTATGTATCTGTCCCAGCTAGACTGATGGAAGATGTCTATGTATCTGTCCCAGCTAGACTGATGGTAGATGTCTATGTATCTGTCCCAGCTAGACTGATGGAGAATGTCTATGCATCTGTCCCAGCTAGACTGTGTCTGATGGTAGATGTCTATGTATCTGTCCCAGCTAGACTGTGTCTGATGGTAGATGTCTATGTATCTGTCCCAGCTAGATTGTGTCTGATGGTAGATGTCTATGTATCTGTCCCAGCTAGTCTGTGTGTCTGATGGTAGATGTCTATGTATCTGTCCCAGCTAGACTGTGTGGCTGATGGTAGATGTCTATGTATCTGTCCCAGCTAGACTGTGTGTCTGATGGTAGATGTCTATGTATCTGTCCCAGCTAGACTGTGTGGCTGATGGTAGATGTCTATGTATCTGTCCCAGCTAGACTGTGTGTCTGATGGTAGATGTCTATGTATCTGTCCCAGCTAGACTGTGTGTCTGATGTTAGATGTCTATGTATCTGTCCCAGCTAGACTGTGTGTCTGATGGAAGATGTATATGTATTTGTCCCAGCTAGACTCTGTGTCTGATGGTAGATGTCTATGTATCTGTCCCAGCTAGACTGTGTGTCTGATGGTAGATGTCTATGTATCTGTCCCAGCTAGACTGCGTGACTGATGGTAGATGTCTATGTATCTGTACCAGGTAGACTCAGTGTGTGATGGTAGATATCTATGTATCTGTCCCAGCTAGACTGTGTCTGATGGTAGATGTCTAAGTATCTGTACCAGCTAGACAATGTGTCTGATGGTAGATGTCTATGTATCTGTCCGAGCTAGTTTGTGTGTCTGCTGGTAGATGTCTATGTATCTGTACCAGCTAGACTGTGTCTGATGGTAGATGTCTATGTATCTGTCCCACCTAGACTGTGTGACTGATGTTAGATGTCTATGTATCTGTCCCAGCTAGTCTGTGTGTCTGATGGTAGATGTCTATGTATCTGTTCGAGCTAGTCTGTGTGTCTGATGGTAGATGTCTATGTATCTGTCCGAGCTAGTCTGTGTGTCTGATGGTAGATGTCTATGTATCTGTCCCAGCTAGACTGTGTGTCTGATGGTAGATGTCTATGTATCTGTCCCAGCTAGACTGTGTGTCTGATGGTAGATGTCTATGTATCTGTCCCAGCTAGTCTGTGTGTCTGATGGTAGATGTCTATGTATCTGTCCCAGCTAGACTGTGTGTCTGATGGTAGATGTCTATGTATCTGTCCCAGCTAGACTGTGTGTCTGATGGTAGATGTCTTTGTATCTGTCCGAGCTAGTCTGTGTGTCTGATGGTAGATGTCTATGTATCTGTACCAGCTAGACTGTGTCTGATGGTAGATGTCTATGTATCTGTCCCACCTAGACTGTGTGTCTGATGGTACATGTCTATGTATCTGTCCCAGCTAGTCTATGTGTCTGATGGTAGATATCTTTGTATCTGTCCCAGCTAGACTGTGTCTGATGGTAGTTGTCTATGTATCTGTCCCAGCTAGACTGTGTGTCTGATGGTAGATGTCTATGTATCTGTCCCAGCTAGACTGTGTCTGATGGAAGATGTCTATGTATCTGCCCCAGCTAGACAATGTGTCTGATGGTAGATGTCTATGTATCTGTCCGAGCTAGTCTGTGTGTCTGATGCAAGATGTCTATGTATCTGTCCCAGCTAGACTCTGTGTCTGATGGTAGATGTCTATGTATCTGTCCCAGCTAGACTGTGTGTCTGATGGTAGATGTCTATGTATCTGTCCCAGCTAGTCTGTGTGTCTGATGGTAGATATCTTTGTATCTGTCCCAGCTAGACTGTGTCTGATGGTAGATGTCTATGTATCTGTCCCAGCTAGACTGTGTGTCTGATGGTAGATGTCTATGTATCTGTCCCAGCTAGACTGTGTCTGATGGAAGATGTCTATGTATCTGCCCCAGCTAGACAATGTGTCTGATGGTAGATATCTATGTATCTGTCCGAGCTAGTCTGTGTGTCTGATGCAAGATGTCTATGTATCTGTCCCAGCTAGACTCTGTGTCTGATGGTAGATGTCTATGTATCTGTCCCAGCTAGACTGTGTGTCTGATGGTAGATGTCTATGTATCTGCCCCAGCTAGACAATGTGTCTGATGGTAAATGTCTATGTATCTGTCCAAGCTAGTCTGTGTGTCTGATGGTAGATGTCTATGTATCTATCCCAGCTAGACTGTGTGTCTGATGGTAGATGTCTATGTATCTGTCCGAGCTAGTCTGTGTCTCTGATGGTAGATGTCTATGTATCTGTACCAGCTAGACTGTGTCTGATGGAAGATGTCTATGTATCTGCCCCAGCTAGACTGTGTGTCTGATGGTAGATGTCTGTGTATCTGTCCCAGCTAGACTGTGTGTCTAATGGAAGATGTATATGTATCTGTCCCAGCTAGACTGTGTGTCTGATCGTAGATGTCTATGTATCTGTCCCAGCTAGACTGTGTGTCTGATGGAAGATGTATATGTATCTGTCCAAGCTAGACTGTGTGACTGATGGTAGATGTCTATGTATCTGTCCCAGCTAGACTGTGTGAATGATGGTAGATGTCTATGTATCTGTCCCAGCTAGACTGTGTGTCTGATGGAAGATGTATATGTATCTGTCCAAGCTAGACTGTGTGACTGATGGTAGATGTCTATGTATCTGTCCCAGCTAGACTGTGTGTCTGATGGTAGATGTCTATGTATCTGTCCCAGCTAGACTGTGTGTCTGATGGAAGATGTATATGTATCTGTCCAAGCTAGACTGTGTGACTGATGGTAGATGTCTATGTATCTGTCCCAGCTAGACTGTGTGACTGATGGTAGATGTCTATGTATCTGTCCCAGCTAGACTGTGTGAATGATGGTAGATGTCTATGTATCTGTCCCAGCTAGACTGTGTGTCTGATGGAAGATGTCTATGTATCTGTCCCAGCTAAACTGTGTGTCTGAAGGTAGATGTCTAGGTATCTGTCCCAGCTAGACTGTGTTTCTGATGGAAGATATATGTTTGTATCTGTCCCAGCTAGACTGTGTTTTTCTCTCCACAGCATCGTGCTGCTGGTTGTCATCTACACCACCTTCTGTGATACATTCTCTCATAGGGAAATCCACGTGGAGGAGATGAGTCTGGTCTCAGTTGTTATGTTAGGTATGTATGTGCAGAACAGTCATTATTCACCTTCACATATATAATCCATATTCCAGGTGTTTTCTAGATAAGCTGGCCTGTTGTCCAGAAGAGCGGATATTACCACTTCTGTCATGTCTACCATTCCTCCATCTGAACACAATGGACATGACATAAAGAAACATTTGTCACTGATTAATGACTGCACCAAGCAAAAGTCAATAGTCTGAATAGGGAATAATTTAATGAGACTCAGGTAAAGTGTTTTCTGGGAATTCATTATTTTTCTAAGTAAAGATTGAATAATTACTAAGAACTAGGTTTTAGTAAATCTATTATTTGTAATTTTAAGTAAAACATGTCTTCACTTAATGTTACCCAAGAACATGTTTTGCTTCCTGTAAAGTTTTCTGAAGCAGATTTCAGTTACAGACAATTAGATGATTTTCTATGAATTGGACATTCAAGTCTCCATGCATGTGTCATCACCATGTGGCTAGGGGGCTTCAAGCACAAAGCTTCCAGGCTGACAGCTTGGTTAACAAATGAAAGACATCTCCAGATTGTCACTATGTTGTTGTCATGGTTATTCAGAGCAGTTGGCTTCTTAAAACACCTGCTCAATGTGGTAATTGCTTACATTTTAATTCTCATTTCAGTAATCGTGCTTCAAGCTGGCCTGATGATGCTAGTGTTTGCTGTGTCAAAATGTTCCTTTCTTGGACTACAGCCAGCTGATACTGTGGCTCTGGTCTTCTGTTGTACACATAAGTCCCTAACACTAGGTACACGATACTACAGTAATTATCAAAACAACAAAAATAGATATATCTATGGTAAATTGATGTAAATAGTGCGAAAATAGATGGCGTAAATGGAGTTGGTGTTTGTGAGATTTCACTGTAGTTAGCTCAATTGGTGTGCCCAAAAATGGTAAACTTTTTTTTGGATATCTCAAAATGTCTTATAAGATGGCTCATATTCCACATGACTATTATGATTTTTTTATAAACTGTCTGTTATCCCATCTGCGATTTCGTGAGAAAGTGACATTTTGGGCCGCCATTCTTAATTCAAGTAATAAAAGCTTCATACAAGACATACCTCTCACCGTTTGCAAATACCATTTCTATATTGGATATTATTAAAGATTTGCCTGAAGTCAATGATTTTTTTTAACCACCGAAGGTCATCTGAAGGTAAATGTCTGTTTGAATGTCAAGTTTTATGTTAATACACAAACCGTATAAAAAATGCAACAAGTGCAGATACAACAATCATAACTGGTTGTGGGTATGCTTGGTAAAACTCTGTAGAATATACGAAGAAACCAAAATAAATGTGCACAATCAGATATTAACTGCTCCCTGACACAAATGGACCAGCAGATGATACCGTGGACTCAATCTCAAGACACATAAAGGTGTGTTCAACTTGGAATCTGACATTTAAATCAGAATATTTACATATTTACACTATTGCAGTCAATACCCATTTTAAGGCATGCACTATTATAATTACAATGATTGTTCATAAGAGAATGTCATTTTAGATGAATGAAAGGTAATTCTACCATGACATTAATAAATGCTTGATTTTGATTGGTTAAAAGGTGGTTTCCTTTTTGCTACAGATTGCTGTTACGCCTTTTCACAAAAGAAACATGCGTATGAATACACAGATAGCCTACATAATGGCTGCCGATCGAGCGCCCCCCATATGAACTGTAAAATGTATCTATATTTCCTCTATTACATGCTGTAATACCAGCCAGGTCTCTAATACACACTGAGTCAAGGGCTCTTGTGAAATTAATAGACGGCATAACATCCAATAGAGGAAATCCGATGGTTTGCTATCAGATGTTTTTGGCGTTCTTGGCTGCAACCGTGACTGCTTCAATGATGACATTAAAAAGATTTAACAAAGGCATATCTTTTGCATATAAATGAAATGTTTATGAAACTGTTAGGGACATGTTCTATGGTGACCAGAATTGAAACAATTTAAGCTACCGGTATTTCCTTATTGAAACAACCAACAATGAAAGTAAAATATAATATATACTAGCCACATAAAGAAACTGTGCACGGAGAAAATATATTCTGGATTGAAATACAACACAGCAAGAACAAAATGATGCAGACCCTGTAGCAGCTGAATGATCGGACCATAAGAAAATGTCAACGGGACCTGAACAACATCTGTTACGATGACGTCAGAAGATCAAAATGGAGTAGGGGGTCAAACGACAAAGTCACAAAGTCAATAACGGGTATGACCACCCTGTGCGTGAATCACAGCAGTGCATCGGCGACGCATGGAGTCCACCAAATGGGCATGGAAGGCCTGGGGAATGGCCTGCCATATCCTCCTCAAATCCTGTGCCAAGTCACAGACGTTATCTGGAGGATGTGGAAGACGACGCAGACGGCGCTCCATTTCATCCCACACATGCTCTATTGGGGAGAGATCTGGAGAAATTGCAGGCCATGGCAGTAACATGACATTGTTATGGTGAAGGAAATCCATTGCGACCCTAGCCGTGTGAGGACGAGCGTTGTCCTGTTGAAATGTCAATCCCGGGCCATGACGTTGCAAGAAAGGAATGACCACAGGCCTCAGAATCTGATCTCTGTAGCCAACACCGGTGAGATTGCCCTGAACAACCACCAAAGGGGTTCGGTGCCGTGCTGTTATCCCACCCCAAATCATCACAGAGCCACCTCCAAAACGATTCCTCTCCACAATACAGTTGCGTGCATAATGTTCTCCCAAACACCGTAGACACGTTGGCGCCCGTCACTGTGGGAAATGTTGAACCTCGATTCATCTGTAAAGACAACTTTTCTCCACCATATTACTCGGGGACGTCCTGAACGTGGGTGGTCGGCAACGTCATTTGTGTTCTGATAACCCCTCACCAATGCCGATATCGTGTTACGATGGCATTGGAAATGTGTTGCCACCTGTTGTTGCCTCATTCCCGCTCGGATCATTCCAATGGCTTCATGATGCTGCGCAGCTGAGAAGTTTTGAATTTTTGAATGACCACAGATCATGCTTTCCAAAGTGACAGCGAATTTTGAGTTGCACATGCTGTGTACAGCTGCACAGGATGCACGTGCAGTAACACATTGCACGTCCATAGGCCCCCATCAATGACGTCATATTGCATGGCACGTGCATGAGCGTTTGAATGTCTCCAATAATTGCTGTGTTCAAACCTATATTTCATATATGGACGGTGTGCCCTTATATCTATATTTTCTCCGTGCACAGTTTCTTTATGTGGCTAGTATAGAAAAGTTGTTTGAAAAAACTTTATTCGTGACAACATGTTGTTTACAAACCTTTTTGTGATCGATATTTGTTGCCATCTCCATCAACCACCATCTTAAGGATTTGGCAGAAGTGGATTTGAAAGTCCATCACTCGCTTCGAAAGGCTACGAAAACAATGTTGCGGCATCATTGAAGTCAAACTTGATGAAATTCATTTCAGAACACACACAATTAAGAAAATGATTTCTGGGCCACAACTGTCTCATTGCTATCACACAATGGCTTTGAATCCGAGAAATCTTGAAATTGACAGGACAAACCATGCAAATTATTCATGTCAACATAGCCTGCTCGTCTTCAGCGCAAAAAGCAGTTGTTCAGTCATACTCCAGTTCCATTGGTAATCACATTGTACCAGCAGGTTCATTCAACATAAATCTACAGGTTAATCAGGGTTGTCATCTAAACTTCATGTAAACTTAATTGTCCGAGTCAATGAAAACAACAACATTGTTAACCATTACGAATTGTGTGTTGTGAGTAACCGTGATGTAGGTCAAGTTCTGCCACATGCAAGTTCGGGGTGGAGAGGCGTTTATTTTGATGTTTTATTATTTGCTGGGGGTAATTGCTAACTAACAAATAAGACTTACACATGTAAAATAAATAGTGGAATGTTAATTCATAAAGTACCTCTTATTTATAACATACATTTGAAACCTCACGCTAAAGTGCTCGGTTCCAAATTAAAATAAGAGGTATCTACTCTACAGTGGGACTACATCAAATTTCAAAACACAATAGGTTTATCTCCTAAATATCTCTCACTTCAAAACATCCTTTGCATTTGATGTAGGTGTGTTTATATATGCATTTTATGTTCTTTTCACTTTTAAAACAGTGCATATCTATTGCTATAAGTTCAATATTTATATGATCTGATCATTTACAGGGTATGTGAACTGTTCAGTGCAGAATTTCTTGGCTAAACAAAAACAACACCTACTGAACAGATTCTTTTAATGGTAGCTGCATTAGGTGCCAAGAACCTTTTGAGGGTAGCAAGAAAGGACTACTTGTATAGCAGCCAACCAAAGCTGGATTGAAATCTCTCGTAAATGCTGCTGAGCAAAGACATGATCAGTTGTACAAAAGTACAAAAAGTAACCAGAACCCACATACTGAACTCAAGTGAAGGGACAGACACTTCTCAGAACACAGGATACAGGTGCTTTGCTTTAGCATAAGAATTCATTCTTGTGGACAAACAGAGAGTCATTGACATCCATCATCACAGACACTGGGCAGTCTACAACATCCAATGTTCTTCATGCTGCTGAGAGACGATGTGTGAGACTGTATATGTGCGAATGTTGCCATATCCTGATCTCTTTGCATTTGATGGAACATATCACAGATGATGTTATGCACACTACCGGTACATATGATTAGAAAAAACAACAAGTTTGCATCAGGACCAATGACAAATCAGTTCATTTACTGATTGCAGACATAGAAGAAATGGTACTCTACACAACAGCAAACAGTAGTTACACTCAGAGAGTCTAAGGAAACTCAAAGTAGGCCACAACCACCAGCAGTTTTGGATGATTCAGCTCTTGATGTGGACAGAAATGCAACTTCTTCAGCTGTGACAAATGACTTGATTCGACAACTTGCTAGATACTTCAGCAGAAATGCAATTACAATCCCTGCATGGAGCAATTTCTGTAAATCTTCAGCTGTCTCATTTTTTTACTGCAGATCTCGCCATATCCTGCAAAGCACAACACATTCTTTGGAGTAAGCTCAGAGATTTGACAGGAAACTTCAGTTTGTGCTCAGGAGGAAAGCACCTTCAACAAGCATTCAACTGAGTTCCAATTGACCAGGCATTGGGACAGACAGTTAATTGTAATGTAAAAGGGCAGGGTGTTGTTGTTAGCTACTCATTATGGTTAATTAGTACTGATTGGTGATGAGCTGTGGACAGATGGAAGCCAGGAGTTAAATTGTCACTGATTGTTAATCTGCAAAGGAGCAATGGAAGACAGAGTGTTAATTAGCACTGATTGGACAAATGAAAGTCAGCTGGATACCTGCTTAAATCAGTAAATCCCAAGCACTAGGCAGAGATGATCCCTGGTCAAGGTTCATGGCTAGCATGTCCTGATGTCAGTGGCCTTTTGTAGTTCCCTGTGATGCCAATCGTTGTTGTTGGTGGACAAGATTTTGATAGCTTCCCACATGATGTTATGGTCTTGGTTCTTGATGCATCCGGAGATTTCTGGTCTGGTTTGTTGACAGGTCTGATGTTCTTGAGTCCGGTGTTGAGGGGTAACCAATCAGTGGTAATTAGCTGTTAGCTTCCCTTGTTAAGTTTCCACCTTTCTTATCTTATTACTTTTGTTTGTGTTAAATGTACATGTAAATGCTTTCTGCATCCGAGCATTCATTCAACTGATGAAGGAGGCAGCATATTTTTCAAAACATTGTGTTCCTCATAATAAAGAAGTTGACATCGATAAATTCTCTCTCTCTTGCCTATACATGTAGTTACATTTTTTGAAAGATGTACGCTTACTTGTGCAGTACTTATACACATGATCATGTCACAAGCGGAATCTTGCAAATGTAAGAAAAAGAAAATGCTAGTTATTAGACATTAGACCATGTCATTGTCTCCAATGCACAATAATTCAAAGATTTCCAGATGATATTATCATAAATTGTGATCAATTTAGATCTAATGTAACTTGTAAACATGTCATATTTAAGTAAAGTTCAATAAGTGGTCAATATTATGAAATCATAAGAAGTTGTAATCTCATTAAAATCAGATCCTTAGGTCTCCCTACTGCTGAACAAAGATCTGAGGACATCCCATTACAGGTCTTGTCAGAACGAAGTCTCACAAACTTTGAATGACCAATGTAGAAGTCGACATTAGCCAATCAGAAAGCAGCTTTCTTGAGCTTTATGGCACTGGTTTGTAACCCGTGACATCAATTCCAGACTAAGTTTTGAAATATATCCATTCAAAATGTGAAAACTGAACTGAAGAATGTATTAGAATGTCTACCAGTTGGCAGAAATAGTATGGCAGTACGTCAGATGGGCTAAGGAAAGTCTCTTCCATTTGAAATGTTTATCCCATTGAAGCGGGGGAAAGACAGTGATTTTTACAGAATCAGAGGCCTTAACTATCATTGGAATTACCCCGTATTAATGATCGTGTGTTCATATCCAGCTTCGCCCTGATTATGTTTCAAGGTTTGTCAGCTCATGGGTTTCACCAAAGTGGTAATGTCTGAGACCTACATCACTTCAGGCTTTCTTCCCACTGAAGCTTTCATGCCATGAAATAACTGGAATACTGTTCAAAGCAGCACTAAACCAACTCATTCACAAGTGAAGCCAGACCAGGTAGCTGATGCCAGTATAATGCATACTGGGGGTCACAGCTCCCTTTCAAACTGCTGCACATATTTAATGATGGAGAACTAATAAGATGTTTCATCATAGCTTGTGAAGAGAACACAAAGACTGGGTATTATCAAAATATTGCAATAATCAAATCTTTAAAAATACTTTATCTTCTGAAAGCCTAGAGGGTCCATCTTGAGCCCAGTACAGTACACCAGTACACTTTAAATGTGTTGCTAAAAACTCTCATATGATGAATAGGAACATGATGACAGGCACATTGGTGGAACATTTCTGATGTCCAATGACTTGATTTGCTCTACTTCACATCTGTCAGCAAAGTATTCCTGTTCCCACCCTGTGCTCCTGTAGTGATGCTTCCTCTCTCAGTGGTCATATGTACTGTTAAGTTCCTGACCTATGGCGTGACCTCACATCAAGGTCCCTTGCATACTATGCCCTGCTGCAGTGCTGTATGGTACTCACTGGAAGTTTTTATGTTTACAGGCATTCCAATAATCAAGATCATATTTGGTGGGTATGATGGGTTGTCTGTGATAAGCATCCCCTTACTAGTATACCACCCAGTACAGATTCTCCTTGGGGGGCTTCTCGTTCCCACGGTAAAGGCATGGCTCATCACAACAGAGAGGTTCAGGTATACAGCTATTGATCTCATGAAAATACAAGCAAAACTGTTATGTGTTTAAAGATTAAATTGTTAAAGATTATTGCCATTGTAGCCATGTTGCGAATGCCATTTTTAGCTCCTCTCTATGGAAGGTCTAGGTTAGCTGATGTGTGATGCGGGTCTGTCCACCAGGTATCCATCAACACCTCCTGTCTGCTTGTCCATAGTCCATCATTTTAAAAAAGTAATGAATTTGCAGTATGTGTAGCTTTTACTTACAGGGGCTTGACATGTGTTCCAGTGTTGCATAAATAAGGGTTCTTTTCCCCTGATCTCTTGCACTGCTTTTTCTAATTCACTATAGATATTTGTCACTGCAATAAGGTTGAAACATCACAAAAATTCTTTCTTCCAAATTCAAGTGAGCTGCAGAAATTTGTGCTCTATTTCTCAAATAAAGTCTACCATTGGTCCATCCTCATGTCTATGTTAATCCAATCTGTTGACATTAGAAGATTATGTCACATATTTGCATGAACACTGTAAAAACACTTAAGATGTTTTCAACCAGTACTCAAGTTAATATTCATTTTGGTCTTTTACAGATATATGTATCCAAGTCGACAGAGGTTTGCACAATTTCTGCAAGTTTGAATTCCTACACATCGCTCTCTTTGTGTTCGACATGACCAACGTTCAGTGCATTGTAAGGAACAGGATCTTATGTATTTTACCAGCAATTAAAGCTTTATGGTGTGTTATTGGTGTAAGCATTCACTTGTTATGAACCAACAGCCCACAAAACAAGCATGGCAATCATGTGACTCACTGGCCACCAGCACACATCTGACTACCAACGAGGCTCACTCTAATTTGTTCCCCACTTGGAAGGCAATGGCAGACTAAGCTTGAATCTGACAAGTGTCTGCCACAGAAACAATGGCCACTTTCAGGCAAAGAAATATATACACCATAACCCAAACTAATAAGCCAACACATGAGCCTACTTAACACATCTCTTCAAAAGGATTCTTCTTGTTGGAAAAGGACGGTCTGTTGGCAGAATCCTGAGGACACTCTTAAACAGAAGTGCCGTGTGGCACACTTCAAAAATATTAATTTCTATCCCTGCAGTCAATGATTGAGGTAATAATGATAATTGCCACCTCAAGGCTGAGAAACTGCACCAGGAACACAAAATATATCACAGACTTCCACAAATGGTATTATATATCATCAACAGAGTGCTTGATATGATGGAATGTTAAAAACATGTATCTGTAAAACATTTTACAATATTGTTTAATAAACATAACTGCACCTAAAATGATGCATGACATATGAAAGATCGTTTGCATGTAAGGCCAAGAGTTTCAATATTTATAATTCTTACGAATACAAAACCTCAGAAATCCTGTAGTTTGTCTGTCATCACACAAGAATCTTCAGATTTCCAAGAGAAGGTCTCTTCACTGTCAATGACCCATAACTATTAATATGTTCCTTTCTAAAGCTCATTGGTAAGGTGTGAAATCCTTATTTCTCACCTTTGTGTGCTAGCGCCATCATCTGAAACAATTAGAGTTGTCAAAGCACATTATTTGGTACTTATCACACTATGTTTATTTGTATACTCAGGGGTATAGGGAATGGCGGATGATTTTAATATTTCATGCCGTGGCACAAATATGCGAGCCATTGAGAGACAGTTGCAACGTTGTCTCAACAAAATCCAAATATGGTCTCTTGAAAATGGCTGTAAATTTTCTAAAGCCAAGTACAATTACATTTAGTTTTGCAGGAAATATGAGCACTGAACTATTTTTAGATGGCACACCTATCAAGGTTGAAGAGGAGACCAAGTTTCTAGGATTCATTTTCAATCATTTGATTTTTCGGCCACATATTAATTATCTTAAAACCAATTGCCTGAAGGCTCTAGATTTGTTGAAAATCGTTGCTAATACAAAGTGGGGAGGTGATACGACAACACTGCTCCACTTGTAAATGTCTCCATTGGATATTCACCATCAGGGCCTAAGACTATGTCTATAGTCTGTATGTTTAAGCTGATGAACCTTCTTTGAAGCAATGCCGTATCAAATTTTCGCAACAGTACATTACTAAATTACATTCTAACCCATTAAACCCTGCACTCAACTGTTTTTTAACCTTTTTACGAAGAACAGTTTCACAGTAAGCCTTAGCTGGTCAAACAACCAGGCATTCTGATTAAACCCCTTATTACAGCTGTAAATATTGATTTAGATATTATTTCTCCATGCAGGCTTTTGTCTTCACCATCATGGCAGTTGGTAAAACCAGAAATAAACCTAACATTTACTAAACTAAAGAAATCTGAAACAAATCAACTAGTTTCTTCTGTTGCCAGCGCCACCGTTATTTGATCCAGGACTTCACCTTCAAGATTATCAGACAATGTTCAATTTTTACAGCCCAATCACTTGCCATTTTAACAGCCGTAAAATATATTGGCAAACAATCTAAGCATAAGCTATTTCCATGTATATTATTCTCAGAACCTCTCGCGTATCTTCAGGCTATTAAAAGTATATCATGTAAGCATCCACTTTTAATTGAAATTATTGAATTATACTCAAACGCAAAAGAAACGCAAGTCGAGTATGCAGTACACATGTTATTTATTTTCAACAGCAAAGACAAGAAATACTAATAGGGCAAGATTGACAAAGATTTGACTGAAGACAGTTTAATGGATTAAAAGGCAGATGACATAATTGTTTTTTTTCAAATGTTAAGGGCTTACACAGTTTCGGGTCCATACCCAAACTGTCAGTTAATACCTGGTGTGACCACCATTAGCATTGATCACTGCCACACATCTCCTGTACATTGAGTGGATCAGACGATTTGTGAAGGCCCTAGGGATCCTCCTGTACACATCCAGAGCAGCTGTGCGTAGTTCATAGGCAGTTGTAGGGACTGGGCGCACATTGTGCCGACGCCTTTGAACCTCATCTCACAAGTGTTCGGTGGGGTTCAGATCAGGGCTGAGGGCTGGCCACGGTACAAAACGGATGTTGTGTTGTTGCAGAAAGGCCATGGTAGCTCTGGCAACATGGGGACGAGCGTTGTCCTGCTGGAAAATGTGTTGTTGATGTTGTGCAAAAAATGGAACAACTGGGATCTGATCACTTGGTCGATATACCGCTGACCAACATTCAGAAAGCACATGGGTCCAAGTCTCGCATTAAGTCCAATCCCTGCCCATATCATGACGCTAGGTCCACCCCATGAACCCCTTTCCACAACGTTTCTGTCAGCGAAACGATCACCTCGACGCCGCCAAATTCTGAGTCTTCCGTCTGCATGGGAGACACAAAAGCGACTTTCATCAGAGAAGATGACACGCCTCGACTCACGATAACGCCAATTGCGATGACCCTGTGCCAACTGAAGTCGCGCTTGTCGATGCCGTGGTTGGAGAACAGGACCACGTGCTGGTTGGCGACATCTGAGGTTGTTGGAACGGAGACGTCGGATCACAGGGTCCCGGCTAATGTGTCGATTATGTGTTCCTATGGTCTGTCGAGCACTTTCACTTGCAGTTAGGAACGGATGTCGCTGGTGTTGACGGGTAATCTGCCGATCTTGTCGAGGTGTGGTGACCCTAAGACGACCGCTCCGAGGAAGGTCATCTGTGGTCTGTGTAGCATTGTATCGATGCAGGAGACGGTAAATTATGGTTATGTTAATGTTGAAATGATTGGCAACATCTTGGACAGACTCTCCAGCTTCCAAACGTCCGATAGCCTGGTTTCTCTGAATTTTGAGTTAGGCGTGGCATTGTTGACCAAGGAGTGATAGGTCCAAGAATCGGCCACGGTTCTATTCCCACTACAGTTCGTGACAGTTCGTGCATTTTCGATTTCGCGAGAAATGGGTGCATGATACCCACACATTCATTGAAATGGTGCGTTTTGGCGATTCGTTTTATATGTTGCGTGTTTACTCGGGGCTTCCAAAATGCAACCAAAAATATTGATAACACCATCAGGCTTCACTACATGCTAAAACTCGTATCAATTTATGGTTCCGTGTTTATTACCTATTTGCTTAAAACCACTTGCGCTTCTTTTGCGTATGAGTATATTTAATGACCTTGTTACTGGCCAATACGACATCGTTTTTGTATGTTACCCGGTCATGTTGGACTCATTGGTAACACAATCGCTGATGTCACTTCTAATTCCATACAGTGATAATAAAATTGACATTAGATCTTTTATCAGAGATCTTATGAAAAAGATGTGTGACACTCAAGTTGGTATAAACAAATTACATGCAATAAAACCAACAGTCGGTTGCACCTACTTGGGTTGTCAGCCCAGATTTAAAGAGGTCATTAAGATGTCGTAATGGCCATTGCCATACTTATGGATATCTATTGAAAGGTGAAGATCCCCCTTTCTGTTTCCCTTGTGATTAGAGAATCACGATCAAGCATGTCCTCCTTGACTGCATTGATTTTTCTATCACAAGGGATACTTATTTCCATGTTTCATCCGTAAAGTTTCTTTTAATATGAGTTCTCATTTTATTCTTGATTTTTTAAAAAGAATTTGAGTTACTTGATACATTTTGATAATAAACTGACGTCCAAAAGAAACTTTACCAATTGAAAATATAAAATTCAGACAAAGTATACATTTTTTTTCGATGAAGTCTATCTAAAACACATAACCTAAATACAACAATAGTGTATGCAGAAAATGTTAATCGTCTGTTACATGTTTGCGAGATAACACGCGAAAAAGTGAAAAACACGTGCACCACGGACAACTGCAAATGCACTTGCGGGTAAGGGTATAAAATGATTGCAACGGCAAGTCAGACATCCACAGTGATAAAAAAACACAAAAGAAATGCCACGACTCACAGTCGAACAACGTGAACGAGCCTTGGGTATGGTACAGATGGGAGCCACCCACGCCCATATTGCACGAACCTTCGGTTGCTCCCGTGTTGCCGTTACTAACTTGATGCAACGTTACAGACAGACAGGGCCGACCGCTGACAGGCAGACCCAGTGGACCACGCCGCATGATGACCGGTACTTGCGTACCTTGCACCCCCGAAATCGCTTCCTGACAGTGACGTCATCGGCGACAAATGCCTTAGATCACAGGGTTAGTCGACAGACAGTGGCCATGAGACTCAGGGCTCATGGAATCAGGGCTTTTAGACCATACAGAGGACAGCTATTGACAGCGCAACACCGTCGTCTGCGATTGAGATGGGCCCGGACTGTACGACGTTGTCAACGACGTGACTGGCAGAGGGTTGTCTTCACTGACGAAAGTCGATTCAGTATGTTTAGGGCTGATGGAAGACAACGTGTTACCGCCAAAGGGGTGAACGAACGGCGGCGTGTTGCGTGCAGGAGGGAGTGTCATGGTGTGGGGAGGGATCTGTGGGCAGGAGAGGACACCGCTGGTCATCGTTGACGGAAACTTGACAGCTCAGCGTTACATTGATATCATTCTTCGTCCAGTTGTCCTGCCATTTTTCCAACAGCAGCCACGTGGTGTCATTTATCAGCATGACAACGCTAGAGCCCATACAGCCAGAATTGTCACTAACTTCCTCGCAGCCAACAACGTCAACGACCTGCCGTGGCATGCACGCTCACTCGTCATTTCCCCCCATAGAAACACCTCTGGGACTTGATGGATCGTCGTGTTCGACAACGACCGCAATCTCCAGCCAACCGGCAAGA